AAATGGAATTGATAGAAACTGCAAAACACAGCTTTTACAGCATACCTCTAACATTATACTGATAAAATAATATTCTAGCCCACGTTACATTATATTAGCCCTGGAGCCACCCCAACAGTTGGGGTAGGCTCTAGCCTGGTCTCGATTTTTCGACTATGTTAGTTTTATACTGACAAAAAAATATTTTAGCCCATGTTACATTATATTACCCTAGTATTAATCTTCTTTTGGCCCAAAATAAATTAAATTTGTACAAATTAAATCAATGAATTAAATATTTCAACATGATTTAAGTTTCTTTTCACTTTTCTTTTTGGATCATTATGCCTCTTTTTTTATGTCATTCTTGTGTTTATTTTTTATTACTTGATTAAATAGATTTTATAATTCAATTGTGTTAGACTTTCATTAAAATACTTAGTATGTAATTGAATTTATAGATTTATACAATCAAATTTATATATTAACTACGTGTTTAAATAAATTATAGTTGATTATATGAAATTTACTACTAAATCTCATTTATTTATCTGACAAATTCAATGAAATGACTGTTTGTAGTCTTTTTGGTTAGTTGGTAACCGAGTTACCTGGACTCGGGTCGTTCTCAAAGGAAGGCTATTTGGACACGGATTCAAACAATAATCGACTCACACAAGAAAAAAAAATAAAATTCCTAAACACTCTACTCGCAATTTAGGGTTTGATTTAGCTAAATGTGGCAACTTTAAACTAAACGAGAGCAAGATTCAAACTTAACTAGCAAGCAACACCTCAATTTGCAAGGAAAAGGAAAATAAAGAAAAAATAACAAGGCACTCCTAGCCCCGAGATGGAATGAAGGCACTCATAGGTTCGGGAATATGCAAACAAGAGAAAGTCACTCGTGATCAATTAACCTCTCAATCAATTCTCGTTCACACAATCAATAACAATATCACATAATCCCTAACCTACGATAATGATAGCATAATCGACTCATGGATGTGCTAATCTTAACCCTAGAATAACTCCAATAAGTAAAGACGAGCAAGACTTACGAAATCGTGAACCTTAAACGAAGTCTCCAAGTATGTAGTGCATCCACGAGAAGAAATAAGCCGAAAAGTTGTAATCTTGCTGGAGAAATATTACAATAAAAATAGGGTCTTGGAGCCCATAGAGAGAGAAAGAAAACTAGAGAAAGAAGATAGGAAAAACTAAAAAGTAAAATTTAGCAAAATGAGGTATTCCCTCAAAAGTACAAAGCAAGATGTCTATTTATAGCTACACCACAAACACACACTAAAACACACATTTAATGAGGAAAAACTCGCAGGCTAGGTGGATTTCGCGAGCAAATGTTAGATTTTTGCGGACAAGGAGCAGCTCGCGAGTGTGGCTTGGGGCACGTCTGGAAACTCGGCACTCGCGAGATAGCTCTCGTTCACGCGCGCGGAATGAAGAACCTCGCGGGCTGGGGCGCTGCATAGGAGAACTCGCGGGATAGCGATGATTCACGGGCGCGGAACTGGAATTTCGCGGGCAGGGCGCGAACCCACGGGCTAGCATGAATTCGCGCCCGTGGACGGAAAACTCGCGAGCTATGTTGGAGCGGTTGGCTGGGACTCGCGGGATGGCAGCCTTTCGCGCGCGCGGAACGCCAACTCGCGGGCTGAGCTGCCATGACTTGGTCCCGGTGACCTCTTGAAGCTCGGTTCCCCTAATTTCTCGCACACATATCCGATTGACATGAAACTTCGACCCACGCTCCTCAAATCTATTTCTCCTTGTCTTGAAATGTGTAAATGGTTGTCACCACGCAATTAGTAAATACTCTCGGAATGACTCGGAAATGGTTCGCATGACTAGGACATGGTTCGGATGGCTCAGAAATATCTCGGAAATGGCTCGTTTCCCCAAGTATAGTAATAATGGACCTATTCAACACCAAAAAGACAAGAAAATTACGCCGAACCACAAAAATACAATACGAGAATAAAAATGCACGAAACACGATAAAATGACCGGTCGACACTAAAACGAACCTAAAAACACTAAACTAAAACACATAAAACACAAAAATAAGCACAAAAACACAATAAACTATGACATATGTACTTTAGATGACATGACATATAACAAGAAGACGGGACTATTACGCTGTTTTATAGTAGTCCTATGATTAAATATGTTTTTTTTTTAAAAAAAAAAATAAAATTTAAGTATATGACAAAAATTATCTTTGTACATTTTAAGAGAAAATGAAAAACAATTAAAAATAAATATATGTCATATGTATAAGTGGATAAAATTCACAATTTTTGTTCAATGAGAGTCATACCCATATAAAACACGGCTAGTTAGAAAATATAATAATTTTTATATTTGCTGTGTGATTCAAAGAATTTATATTTAAATTTAAAAATTATTTTCATACTTTGACTTCTTTAAACACGTGTCTTGTTAGATTTTTCGAATCGAGCATTTGAAGTACGAACTCGTACTCATTTAATAAACGAGTTATCGTGGCTAAATTGTTTAATAAACAAATAAAAAATTGTGCTCAGGTTTGACTCGTATAAACTTGGTTGAATTCATTTAATAAATCTTAAAACCTAAAACAAAACACAAAACTCCATGCGGACCAATGTCGTCCTGCCATGTAAGCGAATGTAGGGAGATCATGGGAACGTGTCATGAAATCTGCAATGAAGATATGTTCGTGTTATATCTGATATGTTAACATGCTGCAAAATGAGTAGGGGAGGCAAGCACGAAGCGAAAGCCGTTCTTGCCATTCGACGCTTGGATCTGCATAATAGACGCCTTAAGAAGGAAAAACGGAGCAAGATAGCCCAACAACTGAACTTAGGGATTAACTTATTTAGAAGTTTTCCCACACTCGACCCGACTTTTTTGATAGACAAGTTCGATTAGTGTTCGATTATGGCTTCTTTAAACATATAAGAAAGTTAAGCTCAAACTTTTAAAAATTGAATCAAACTATTTTAGAAAATAACAACAATATATTTTGTAGCCAAGGGAGATTTTTTTTTATTTTTTTTGCTACGGCCCTATGTATAAGTCAGTGTGCTGCTTAAAGTTACATAAAGTATATGAGGTGGCAACAATTAATTGGATTGGAATTTTAGGGAGATGTTGAATTTTGAGGCCACCCATCCACCCACCCATTGTTTGTGAAGATAAGAAGCAAGGGAGAGCCACTAAACAAATGCAGCGCCACGCGGCCGTCTTCTTAATAATTAGGCATTGTGCATTTGTAGTATCTCTCTCTCACACACTCTCTCTCTCTCTCTCTCTCTCTCTCTCTTGTTTGATATAGTGGTGGTTATAAGTAGTTTCCAGACAATGAAATACCCATCAGTGAGGCAAAGGTATAGCAATAAATTGATGGGAATCCGTTGCGGAGTGTCGGTCGAGATGACGCAGTATAAAGACGGGGTTTTGGAGAGGGCATTTATGGGTCTGTTTGCAAAGAAGATGGAGAAATTCGGGAAAATAGGAGAAGAAGAAGAAGAAGAAGAAGAAGAAGAAGAAGAAGAAGAAGAAGAAGAAGAAGAAGAAGAAGAAGAAGAAGAAGAAGAAGAAGAAGAAGAAGTGGATATGTGATTACGATTACAAGTCTTTTGTTGAGGTGTCGAGGGGAGTGATGATGGGAAGGTCGCGGGCGCAACAACAGCAGCTCGTGCGTCAAGTGCTCCTCTGCAAAAGTGGATATGTGATTACGATTACGAGTCTTTTGTTGAGGTGTCGAGGGGAGTGATGATGGGAAGGTCGTGGGCGCAGCAGCAGCAACTCGTGCGTCAAGTGCTCCTCTCCATGCTACCCCCTCAAGCTCCTGCTCAGGTCA